TAAAGTAGGTCAAAAATACGCATTACAAAAATAGGAAAGTCATTTGATAATGAACAAAAACATATAAACATTACCAAATTAATTTTATTACATTTTATTATTATTTTATTATTATTTTATGCTTTATAATATTTATAAAAATTAAAAAATTATAACAAAAAATAACAAATATTAAATTTTTGATTCTTCAAAATAGTTTCTTTTTGTTTTTAATACTGCCACACATACTCTTGGCATTCTTGACAACAGTTTTTTAAAAGTTGTTACTGATATTGGATTCCAACATATTTGCAAACAAATATCAGTAATCAAATATCTGGAATCAAATATCAGTAACAACTTTTAAAAAACTATTGTCAAGAATGCCAAGAGTATGTGCGACAGTATTGAAAGCGAAGGGAATTTTGAAGAATCAAAAATTTAATATTTCTTTTATTATTTGTTATAATTTTCAATTTTTACAATACTAAAGTATAAAATAATAAAAAATAATAACTGTAATAAATTATAATTTGGTAACATTTATATATATTTTTGCTTAAAATAATGACTTTTCCGTTTCTACAAATGATATTTGTGTATGACTGATATATAAATAGTTTAAAAGATTTTTTTTGTAAACTAATCCTGACTGTAAAACTAAAAAATAGCTCGCACTATGTTTTATGTAGATCTAAAACATCTACAATTTTTTCGGGTTTTCTGGGATTAAAGTCAGCTCACGCAATTGTTGGCAGTTTCGGAGCCGAATGTTTATTCTGAAAATCAAACTTGAAGGATCGATTGGAAAAAAGTGTCTCTTCGCCTTTCCACCTCTGTATTCCCTTGTTCCCAATTGCCCCTGAACCATACAGGATGGCACATAACATAAAATACTTATAAGATGGGATCTAATTCTCGAAACAGAAATAGATTCGCTGAAAGACATTCGCTCTCGCAGTAGCTAATAGTATCTTGAACGTAGGATATAGCTGTGTTTTCTTATTTTTCTCGAATCTATCTCAGAAGTATTTTCCGCACGTATCACATGACACCCTATATACACGCGGTCGTGCATGTTCATCTCCTTGTATAGCCCAGGATGCTATAAATGGTGACTGTGTGTCGTCGCGCTTTTCTCTCGTCCTCGAGAGAAAAGACGAGCAGCTGTCTCCTCCGTTGCGTCATAAGGTATTCGTTCAAGTGGACTCATCGCGCGTGTACAGGGCACAGTGTTACACGATGTGGTGCGGCTCGATGCTGATCGCGAGGAGCTTGACCCGTTGCTAGAACGGGGAGGAAAAGAGAGAGAGAGAGAGAGGGAGAAGAAGAGAGAGACCAAAGAGAGGGTAAAGGAACCCGTGTCCTTCCCCGTGGAGGATCCGGGGGTGGCGGACGAGATCGGCGTTGCCGACGTTAGTGCCGTAAGGCGGCACTCAAGAGCCTTGGACCACTCTCTAAATGACTGGCGACTGTCAGGCCCACGAGACTCGAATTTAATACGCGAGAGATTTCGGCTCGTGACACGCTCGCCGCTTTCCTCGCGTGTATGTGTGTCCATGTATATACACGTGTTCGCAGACGCACACGCATGACAAGTGTATACGCTTACAGTTGATACGTGTACATTTATGTAACACGTATACGCGTACACGATGCGCCTTCGAGCGTGTCCCGCGAGCGTTTTTAGCGGAGCGTGAGCTTTAAAAATGGTACCGCCGGTATTCCGTCGAGTGGCCGCGTCGTTTGTCACGGGAAATTTAGTATCATTATGCTCTCCTCTTTTCGCCAACGACGACGGTTCGCATCGGAGAACGATTCCGCGTTCATTGTTGCGGCCGAGCGAAATAATGACACGCTCGTGGGCGCGTACGAAAAGTGCGTGTCTCCATCCACACGAATATACATACGAATAATGAATATAATTGGACATTTAATAGGCACTTTAAACCGCGCGCATATATTGACAAATGGTAATTAAAAACTACACGTTTTTCCGGATGCATGTTTTCACGGATTCATTCTCGCATTGTAAGGGAAATAAAGAAATAATTAAGTTTATTAAGAAACAATTAAATTTATTAATTTTGTTTATACAAACTTAACTTAATTAGTATAGATAGACATAAATAGAGATAGACAGATGTTTATTGTCGCTCTGGGACACATAATTCTCTCAGGCGTTATATCCGCTTCTATACAATACAGTGTACAGCGTAAATACGGTATTCGCAAAATAATCTGTGTAAATTAAATTTATACTTATTAATTCGTTATAATTCTTCAAAGAAAAGATAATGTGCAAATACGTAAAAAAATTTCGGGAAAGTTACATTTGTTATAAAATTACTTTCTGTCGCATCCCTGGATGCTTCGATATTCTCAAAGTAAGCATCCCTAATCTCATCTTCACAAGATAAAGTTCGAATTATCGATTATAACCGAAGACTATTATTATTTTTTTTTTCGATTTTTAGAGGGTTGCTCCGTCTTTCGGCAGGCGCCGTGTTGTCGGCGCAAATCGATCCACGAGATGCGATTATTTATTCAAACGGAATATTTAGCGCGTTCAGTTACACCAAGGCGATTACTTTGGGGAAAATACTCATCGTCGCTTCATAGTTCGTCATCAGTCAATTAAATTATTTTATTCTCTTTCTCTCTCTAGACAGATTATTCTTACGCGTTCGCCGTCAAAGAGAATAACTCTTTCGACGCTACCGCAAAGAGAATCAAACGGCATCGAAACGTTGCAAAATAAAATAATATCAAAAGGCTCTCTTTTTCTCTCTTTTTCTTTGGAGAAATTGTTTCTCTCCTTAATACTAGTTCTTTGTTAATTCCGCGAGTTTCTATACGCGATTCGGATATAAAGAACGTTTTCATACCGCGCTTTAATTATTCAATATCCGAGAATAAATTCACCTTTGTGATTCGTTACCTAATTAATTCAAGTGGCAAATAGCCGGAATCGATAATTTCTACCCGGATAATTAAACGCGGATTTTGTCTCTTATTGTTGAAGCTAATTATTATTGGCTTCTCTCTTGAATAAATTAAGACAAGTTGATCGCCACACCGCGGAAATAAAAATCCCGTGAAAACTCGCACATAAAGCTCTCTCATATGTGTAATAATCGAACGTTGGAGAAATTTTGTAACGTGTGCGATTCGTATTACTATTCTTTTTCTTAGCACGCGAGCGTCTCTCATAAAATCTGCGTCTAGAGACACGGAAGATGGTCCATTTATACGTATTTGATTGCCAGGCAGTTTTAAGAGAGGGCCATTTACGTAGAAGCGCGAGACAAGCGCGGTCCGACTAGAGGCAAGAAACTGGGTCGAGTAATGTCTCCGACGTTCTTTCCTCTTTTTCCTCCTTTCTTGCTTTTTCTTTTCTTCTCTAAAGCGTTCTTGACTGTTCGCGCGCGCACTATGCTCTCTTAGCGTATAATAACCGGACCGTGGTGGGCGCGCGTCCGCGCGCATCCCGAACACGAAAGTTCGCTAATGCAGTCGGAATTTCCAATTCGAGGCAAACTTTTTGCCGCGTCGCTCGTTAAAAAATTCCTCGCCACAAACGTGCGAGCTGAATTTTTCATAAAAATATCTTCGTGAGCCTCCGCCGCCGCCGCGGATCCCCGCAGAGTTCATCGGCGACGTCGGTCTCGCCTGGGCTCTCAGTCTGGGTTTTACCCACCCTCTTCCCGGTCGCCGAAAAATTCCATATAGGAACTTATGGTATCGAGAAAAATCCGCATGGATCCAAATATATTCCGATGGGATTTCTATCCGATTTTATCCGCTCTTATCCAGTTACCTATCCCTCGATACTATCCGGCTTAATATGAAACCTTCTCCGAAAGCGTGGCACGCTTTTCTCGACATCAGCCGCTTTCCGCACATCTCTCTCTTTTAAATGCATTGTGATATATCTGTTTTTTTTTTTGCTTATTCGAAAGTAATGAACGCGAAAAGGATTACGAGAGTGCTTAATGCGAAACGCTCTCTCGTGTGTTATAATCTGCAACCCTTAATATGTCAGTACGTTGGAGTTTTGCGCGACACGCTCTTCTCAAGCTTAACCTACACCCGATTCCCTTCAGGGATCGCATCATTTATCATCGTATTCGAGATTAAGAGGCATTCGAAAAGGTGTGCGAGGTTCTAAGACTCGAGAGTAAGCGCGCGTCTCGATCTTCAGCCGGCGCCCCTTGATTCGTCAATACCTTCGGCCACCAGCGCGCGACTACGTCCAGAGCTCTTCGTCCGAAAAGGGCCCCACGAGGAATATCGTCGTTTCCGTCTCTAGCCCTCGCGGAAGTGGTCGCAATTAACCGCGGCATTCCTACATATTTTCGAGACTTCTTCGTCGTCATGCTCGACAGCCGCGACGCGAGCATCATCCCACCCGTCGAGTAATGGCCCGCGCGCTCATTACCGGATCAATTCGTCGATTCGCGCCTTCGTCCGACAGCCGCGAGCGGCCGAGGTGCCGTTACATCCGTGTACGGCACTGGGATCCGGAAGGGGATGTTCGCGCGAGTGGTGGGGCACGAGCAGCTGGGGCGGCCTGGAGCTCGGGAGTCGCGAGCCCGCGGTACCTACGCCGCGCCAGGTCTGGGTTTGGCCGGGTCGCGACAACGGCGGCGGGTGGAAGTAGAGGTGGAGGTGGATACGGTGGCGGTGATGAGGATGGTAGTGGCAGCGGCGCGGATGCTGCGCAAGCAGGGGTGAGCGAAAACGAGCCAGCCTGGCGCGGCGACGGCGGCCGACTAGCGGCCGAACAAGCGGAGCGAGCGAGCGCGCGCGAGACCACCGGGCTTGGCGAGCCACCCCCGTTTTGCCATCAACCCCGTCGTCCCCCGAGCGCCTACGTCGCTCTTTACCCCGCGTCATCCCTTCGTTCGCCGCCCTTCTCCTCCGCCTCTGCCTCCTCTTCCTCCTCTTTCCTCCGCCGCCGTCGCCGCTGCCGCTGCCGCCGCATCCTATATTCGCTCCTACTCCTTCTCCGACGCGTTTTGGCCGCCCCGTTCGGTTCGTTCTACTACTGCGTTCGTCCGTTCGTTCGTTCGTACGTTCGCGTATCCCTGGCCGACGGAGCTCGTGCAGAGTGCTCGCTAACGTCTGCGAGACCCGTCTCGCTCGTCGCGCACGACTTCGTACGGCGAATATTCAGCTCGCTATCGTCGTGCGCGAGCGTAATCCTTTTCATCCCGAAAATTGCGAATTTCCGAAGCTTTCGCAGCGCCTCAAACAGATCTCCAACCAGTCCTCGCCCTTCGTTCTTTTCCGGCCCGATGGCTTAACCGGCCGGTCGAGAAAAAAAAAGAGGTACCTGGTTTTTACTCGGGTGACAACGACGAGAAGGAAGGGATCTTTTACGACACGGAATCCGCGATATCTCGCTCGTCTTGTCGCGCGACGTGCGTGATCCTCGCGCGAAAGATACATTACATACACGTCATGCTACGCGTCTGTCATCGGTGAGGGAAGTCGTGTTGTGATACAGTCGCGCTGCTGGATCAGTGCCACGTTGAAGACCGTCGCCAATGACAATGTCGTGGATAACGACGACGACGACAATGACGACGACGACAGTGTCTGGCGCGAAAAGCGACGACGGTGATGGAAAATTGAGTGCGCAGTGATTCGAGGGAAGAACTGCTACGACGACTGAAAACTGCGTGCGTGTGAATGCGTGGCAGCGTACGTGTGTGCGCGCGCGTTCATCACAATCAGGACACGCGTGCACCGTGTCGCGCGTACTCTCGACGACGTCCTGCTCGTCGTTGAGACCAACCCTCCTCTTGGTACACCTAAGTGAGGCGTTCAACGTGGCCGATCCTTGGACATGTAAGTAACACGACGCTGACACGACGCGGTCAACGGCGGTCAAAGGCGCAGCGACCGCCCGCGAGCGCGACACCCCCGTTTTCATCCCCCCGTGCGCGCAGCTGGCCGCGCGCGCGAGCGTGCTCGCCTTTGTTTGCCCTTCCGCGTTCTCCCTCAGGGCCGAATACAGAACGACGGATTGTTAGCCGCAGATCGTATATGTGCGATCAATTCGGATCCTATTATGGATTCAGGATTTCCGTGCAATAATGGAGCGCGTTGTAGCTGGGGAGAGAAGCTCGGGAACACACCGATGAGCGCTTTGATATAATTACACTGCAGAAGGGTCGAAGACCTATTAAGATCCATTTATATCGTTTCCGGACATCTCTATCTCGTGACGGATATAAGATTATCCCTTGATGCTCTTGCTGTAGATATTGTAAAAAGGAATAGACGAGAATTTCAACAAGCGTAGAATTAAAAAAATGTACAAATAAATTTTTAGATCTGGTTGTATCGTTCGTCTATTACGTATACATGTATGTAAACATGACTTTTGAAATTCGATTCTTTACAGTTCAGTACAACACGAAATTGAACTGCTTCCTATACATGATTGGAATTGCTACTGTAATTCGATGCGAAGCTCTGCCCGTTTGTACACGCGCTGCAAAATTTACGGTTGCAACGTTCGATACAACGTTTTCGATGGGCGGTTCATCTTCGTATCCGGCTCGCAATTTTTCTGAGCCGACAGAAAAATCGGTCAAGCCGTGCACGGTCCGAAAGTCCCGTTCACGCAAACTGGGTGAGAGATCGATTTGTTTGGCGGACAGCGTGTGATACTGACAGAACTCGAGCACGCGAGTAAACACTCGAACGGGGCTGCGTGTGTCGAAGGATCAGGGAGTAGCTGGAATCAAGGGGAAACGGGGGTGAGCTGGACGACGACAGAGTGAGAGAAGGGTGTGTGACGAGACAGGGCGACCGATAGGTCGAACGGGTGGTCTACTCCGGGAAAAAGAATTCGATGTAATCGCCCTGAGCTTTCCTCGAGAGCTCGGATCGACGGGAGGCAGGATAGCTGACTCGGGTTACGAGAGACTTCGGGTTTCCTTCTCTGGATTCTCTCGCCGCGGGGGAAAAACGCGCATCTCGTCGCGAAAGATTGAAGGAATCCAAGGAGATTTGTCGGGCATCGCCCACGTAAAAGAGACTTTGATATCGATATCGTGTTAGTGACTTATCTGAAAGCGAATCTCTTTCCAAAAACTTTCGGCAATGTGTTTCATACTAACTACTACGTCACAGAAAATGATACGTATAAATGAATATATATATATAAAAAAGAATCTGATCGCAATGTCTAATCTCCACAGTTTACAATAATATTAGGAAATTAAATTCACGTTTTTTTTTTATTGTGCTTGCTTCTTAAAATTTTCAGGATTTATTCAATTATTGGAAATAATATAAGTCTTGGTAAATACAGACATTTGCAGAGTCAAGAGAGATTTTGCATTGTTAAAAATTTCTGTGAAATATATTGGTCACATTTTAGTCTTTTATTTTCGAAAGAAATATATTTGTAAATTTATTTTGTTTTATACAAGAACCATCTAGTTAGCGCCGACATACAAAGTGAAACACTGTTACTTTAATGGTAGGAATCCGACCTTCCATGGTTCGTAACACAGTAAATGTTTCAAGGTGCTAAAGTGCGTTTTTATCAAAGAACACAAGTCCGTATGCTATTCGTATGCAAAAAGAAGTTCTTGAAATATTTAAGTAGTCTTTTAATTACTCGACGAGTGTTTTAAGTGATTATATAAAATTATAAATTATGAAATATAAATTAATAATAAATTAATAATAATATTTTTATTTTATTTGTATATTAAATATCGATTCGTGTTACTTGTAATGAAAATATTTTTAACATTCAATGCATTTTATTAAAATTTAGTGCACAACTCGAAAGATTAAATTTAAAGCTCTATCGTAATTAGTGCAAGTTTTAGTGAATGAATAAGAAATATCTTTATAAAACGAGAGGTAATATATAACGAGATCTTTATATAACGAGAGGTAATATATCTTTATCATTTTGCATCTCTGTTGTAATCGTGATCAGGAACATGTGGTGTTGGCAGAAAACCAACGATTGATTGGTGTAAATTCGGGTAAAATTTGTTCTCGGATATATCTCTCTCAACGTTGCCTGTCAATTCTCTGTCAGTTTCTGCTAAGCTGAAGAAGAGACGTGCGAATTTATTCAGAGATTTTTTAGAATATATATTTTTTTAGGATATATATTTTCTTTCCTGTTGAAACATTCTCTCTTCTCTGTTTCCAATTATATTATACCTAAATTTTAAAAAATATTAGAAAAAATTTGATTTTTAAATGTATATTGCTATCGATTGTTCTCTCTCTTTCTTTGCAAAATCAATTCTAAAATATGATCGTAAGTGAGAAATAAAATTTCAACATATTACTATTTTGCAATTATATGATAGGAATACAATTCGAAAGAGATTAATACTAGTCACTTTATGAACTGTTCACTTGCCGCACGAGAGATTACCTAAGTTACGTGCTCATAATAGTCCATTTTTGCCTCGAGCGAAAAGCAGTGCTTAACTTCCATCACGCGTGCTTACTTTTGCTAAATACATAATCCAATTAGATCAGCCCGTGCGTGATATTGCATTCACAATTCATTATCGTGAAATTAATATTGTATCATATTCTATATTATTGGCTTCATCTATTACATCTATTAATTCTCATTTATTATTGGACGGATATGAAACAGATAGGCATTAAATTATATTGCAATGAATTATTAATACGGCGCAATCAACTTAATACTTCTTTATTCTCTTTAAGTCGGGTTAATCAACCCTTTCCTAAAGATCGGAATAAAAATAATCGAGTTATCTCTATATGCACGTCCACAATATTAGTTTGAAACGTAATTCACTCGGGACCGTCTTCACGAACTTTACTCTCAATCGCGATAATAAACGCAACGTGCGCGGCCGAGTTGCTCGGGGAGCGTTCAACGTGCGCATTTAACTCTGGTTTAGATAGAGAGCACAGTTTCCATTCATCAAACTGCGAATCCGACAAATATGTGTGGTCGTTAGTAAGCACTCCTAGAAAGTGCCGTCTAATACGCTTTTCGGTTGGTCCGGCGAACGAAATCCGCGCTCACGTTTCCGGTTTCACTTCATCCGAAGGATCACGCGCATCGTCGATCATTGCTGCTAAAAAGCTAACTTTGAAATTTTCTAAGTGACTTTAAATATCTTCGCTGAAACTTCGCCTCTCCTTGGAACTTCCAATTTTTCGCATTTTTAATGAGATTTCGAAACGAATATGTATACACGAATATGTATAAAAAAAGTTCTTTACGATCATCACTTCTATCTGATGGTCTTCGCACGCGAATTAATTTCTTCTGAGTGAAAACAGAGAGTTACAAATTATAAATATGATTTATTATTAGTAATTTTCCTAGCGTAACTTTGCATACACGCACGACACTATAGCAATATAATTCTACAATTCGATTGTCTTCGTTTTTCTCGGGATCAACATATCGGATCAGGAATGTATCTCGTATCACGTATCGTGCATAAGAACGAGGTATTCGCGGGATGTGTCTTTCGGGAACAGGATGTACAAGGAAACGAGCGATTCTGGCAACAGTGACGCGAGATCGATCGTCTGCTTCCGAAATGCTTTGGGATGTGGTCTTCCATATCCAAAACGCGTGTTCGGCTTTCTCGATGAACGAAATATATTTGAAATATATAAATTAAAAATGTATTAAATGGACATCGACGTATTTCCATTATAAAATCATAACGATTAACAAGATAATCATATATAATATGGTAACACAATCTCAATTTATGAAATAAATTTTAAAATCTCTTAATTTATTAATATATTGATATAATAATATGTATAATATGTTTAATAATCTCTTTATGATCGTTATTTTTACAAATGCATTTAAAAATATTATCGGACGGATTATTTCGTTTGTAATTAATTGTAAGACAATTGGTGCAATTTAAAAATCGCGAAATATCCCGTTTATAACAATTAAAAAAAATATTTTCGCATGATGTTCACGAAATGTTAACAAATTATTGTATATTTTTTTACGGGAGTACGCTAACCTGTTACATCAAAATTCGTTTTCACTGACGTATATATTACAAAACTTTGGACGCAATTTCATTTATGAAGTTCAGTTCGGATAACAGTTCGTTACAGTTGTGGAAATACGGATTCATAAGCGTTCAAAATGTAAATGCAATATATTAAATTTTCCATTTGTTTTAAAAGATGATAAATTTGAATGGTCCACGATTTAATTTGGCGTATTATGGACGTTGTGTGATATGTTGTGCCGATCTAACTTATGACAAAACCAGATGTGCTAAACTTGGCAAGTTCTCGCGCGTGAATTCATCCTAATGGGAAGCGGCTCGTCGCTCTCGATATGCGCACAATCGAATAATCTGACGAGCGGAAGGAACGTTACCGGCGTTACTACAAGTTCCTGATCTTATGCTAGTCTGATAGTTAACTTCGACCTGGAAGTAACTAGTTAGTGTACAACGTAACACGGGAGTGGTTTAACGTTCGTCGATTTTACGCATAGTACCATCAGGCAATAGTTAGCCTGTATTGATAGTATGAAGCATTAATTAAACTGTATTAACGCTACATATGAAATATAATTGTATTTAAAAAACTCTTTAAATTTACATAATTTCTACAATTTAATAAATTTGCTCAATGTAATTAATTAATAATAATATAAGCAATTAACATGCATGGATAGAAAAGGCACGTCCAACGATATCACAGACAAAAATAATAATAAAAATAAAAAGAATATATGTAATTTAAAAAAATATGATTGTACTATAATATACATTATGCATGTAGCATATATAATGAAAAGGATATTGAAATATGAGTAGAGAATGAAA